CCTCTCCAAGCCCAAGCCTGAACCCCAGCTGCGGGGCTTCCTGGCTGCAGAGACACTCCCAGATCAATGATACCACCCCGTCAGGTCCCGCGTCCCCAGGCAGCTTCCATGCGACCCGCACATCCGGAATCCTGTCCCCGGAGCGCTGCGGGCTGCAGTGAGCGCCCCTAGACTTGGGAACCTTCACTTCAGGACCCGCCTCAAGACTGAGGCAGCCCCTTGGCTACAGGCGCCGTCCCCGGCCACCTAAAGTCACGTCCCATCCTGGCTTCCCCCGGATCCGGAATCTACCCAGAGTTCCCATCTGTATTTTTGCTAGGGTCCTGGGATGCAGATAGTGACCTCACCCCACTCCTCCTAGGAACCCTAATTTGGAGGCTGCAGAATTGGCCAGACGCCCTTCCCAGCGTCTTGGTTGTCTCCCTTACCCCCGTGGCACCCTCCAGTGCAGAGCATCGCCCTTTGCCCCAGGCTCCTGGAGTGGGGGGATGCAAGCCCCCCCAGTGTAAGCTCCCCCTGTACACAAGCCCCAACTCCAGCCATCGCCTCTCCCCACGTTCATGTGTCATCCCCCTCCATTAAGACTTGGTTGTGGAGCCCTGTGCTCCTCAGACGACTGGGGTCCTTGCTTCAGCTCTGCCCCTTGCCACCGGCCAAGGTTCCTCCTGGTTTCTTCCTGCTTTGTCCAACATTCATGCTTCAGTAACCGCCAACCCCCACCCTGTTCCCGGACTCCCACAGGGAGCCCCAGGACCTTGCTGCCTGCTTCCCCTGGAGGGGGACTCCAGAGTGAAGTGAAGGGAGCTGCCTGGGGTCCCTCTGCCAGCCTGTTGCCATCACTCAAGCTTTGTCTGTGGAACATTCTGACATCTTCCTTTGCCAGGATAGATGCCACCATGCACTGTCCTTGCCTGTGGGCCTGGGGCCTCCGCCCTCTTGGCTTCCTGCCCCGACAGCCCTAAGGGACCTTTGCAGGACCTTGGGACCTTTGCTTTTCCTCTGTGGGTCCTGGATCTCTGGGCCCGTGCCCTTCCAGGGCCGAGCTGTGTGTGTGCAGGTTTTCAAACCTGACTGGGCACCTGCTCCTGCTGCCAAGGTTTCTTCGGGCCACACCCAAAACACCCGGCCTCTAGATGTCAACCTCCTGCTCTCCCTGGGGGGGAGGGGGCTGGCCCCTGAGGGACTGTGTGGCCTGGGCCAGGCCACTTTTCCTCCCCGGCTTCAGTGTCCTCACTTCTGAACAAGCACAGGATAAATGTGGGCGCCCAGTTAGGAAAGGCAGTGAGATCACCTGGGGCCTGGCAGGGCAGCGCTCCCTCAGCTGACCCAGGACCTCCGCTGTGAGCCCAGAGCAAGCCGTCATGTCTCTGTGGTCCTCAGGCTCCCCCCTGGGAATGGAGGGCCAAGGCTCGAAGGCCTCCACTGGACAGCCAGCTCTGCCCCCTGCCTGCCTTCGGCCAGCCCAGACGGTCGGCAGGCATTGCAAGCCCCCATCTCGCACTCCATCATGACCGCGTGTCTGCCCATATCTGGTTCTGGTTCCCCAAGCATCCTTCTCTCTGAAGAATAGCCCTTCTGTCTGCAGCCTCCTGCTACCCCAAACCATGGTCAAGGCCTTCTGTCCTCCTGGCCTGGAGGGAAAGGAGAGCCTGGACAAACAGATTCTTCCAAATTACTTTCTGTCGGCTTCTGTCTCCTCACTGTGTGGCCTTGGGGAAGTACCTTGACCTCTCTGGACCTGATCTGAGAAACACCTATATTCCTGTCCCTGTTCCAGGCCCTGGGGGCAAAGCAACAAACAAGACAAAAAACCTAGAGCAGTATTTTAGTAGGAAAACAGCCAGTAAACTTCAAAATAAGGAAAAGTTTTCCTGCCCAATGGTTGCAAGCTCTATGAAATGCGTACAGCAGGAAAGGGAGAAGGCTAGGGAGGGGGTGACATTCCGGAGAGAGGCAGCAGGCCTCTGAGCAGAGGGCATTTGCACAGAGACCTGAAGGGGAGAAAGGAAGAGGAAAGAGCCTTAAAGATATTTGAAGAAGGGTTCCATCCAGACCAGGGTAACAGCAGTTGCAAAGGCCCTGGGGTGGGCTTGCGCTGGGCACATTTATAGAATGCAGGGAGCCTGTGGGCCAGGATGGTGAATAGGGAGAGCGGGGAGGGGTTTCTGGGTTCTGGGACTGAATTCTTGAGATTCCTGGGCCAGAGGTGGTTTGGCACTTGACAGTTCATGGTGGATACCAAGGGCAGATGATGCATTCAACATCTGTTGAGCACCAACTGTGTGCCAGGCTTTTCCTCACAGGCTCTTTCTCGATTCATGCCCACTCCAGCTGTGAGGTCTGCCTGGTGTTACCTCTGCTTTCCCAAGGAAGAGGAGGCTGAGGCCTCCGTTAGCCCCTCACCCTCACCAGGCACACACGTGTCCTGCACGCCATCCTGGTTGGGATGAGCCATGTCTGTCCCCAGCAGGTGGGAAGGTCAGCGAGGGCAGGGAGTGAGTGTGTTGAGCAGCTCCCGCCCGCCTCTGTCCCGCCTCTGTGGAGAGGTTCCTGAGGCAGAGCAGTGACC